GTGGATATTTTTTTAAGTATTTTTATTTCTATTGACAAATATAACCAAAATCTGTAAAAATATTTTAAAAGGCTTATTCATAGCAAAATTATAAGTGACCATAGCCCATGAACATGAACTCTGGTAATCCTGGGAAAGTGCATGAGGAGGTTAGGTATAGCACTCTTTTTGTTTATTGGGTCGTCAGAAAAGTTATGATGCATTTTTGCAGAGAACATAGAAAAAATATGTCATGACTTTTCGCACAACCCAGTAGGTCTGAGAGGAGATAAAAAGCAGAATTGTAAATCAACACATAAATTTTCATATTGGCCTGACCCAGAAAAATGAAACATCTGGAAGTGCGAGCTTATGGGTTAAGAAGGTTTTCTTAGGTTGGTAATTGTTTAAAAGCACAAGTGTTGGGACCAGCAGTTAGAGTAATGGCTATGTCACTGGACTCCCACGTAGTCGACCATGGTTCGCGTCTTGGACATGGTGGCTTAAACTCACGCCGGGCGTATGTGCGTGCGTGCCCAAGATCCCGAGAGGAGAATGGAGGAGAAGGGATTGCGGTGTGGCCATCCCCCCTGGGGGGTGATTTCTCGCTTTCTGTCTCTCTCTCTCTGTCTGTCTGTCGAGCGAGCGCACGTGCCCTATAGCAAAAACCTCTCAAAAAAAAAAAAAAAAAGCACAAGTGTTTGTCTCAAAAAAAAAAAAAAAAAAAGCACAAGTGTTTGTCTCAGAAAGACTCAGAATCAGAAAAGAATATGTAAGAATATGTGAGACTAATGCAGAGAAGGCGACTTTGCTATAGTTAGTGCTGTGCCAGAGTCAGGGTGTGAGGGGTATCTCTAAGTCACTGGGCAAAAAAAGCAGGAGGCTTTGGCAAAAGTAATTACTAACTGGATGACTTCCCAGCCCACTTGAGACAAATTTAGATTAAAGTGGTCAGTTTCAGTCTTCATTTACGTATTTCGAAGAGTTTCCTACCCCTACTCCATTATCAGGAGTGGGTCTAAAATTTTATGCATTTTATTCTTTGATCTGTTCATACAAACCATACATAGCATTTTCCATTTTCTTCAGAAATGCAAGGATTAGCTCTCACTTGACAGTCTAAATTCAGATAGAATACATTTACATTTATTGTGATTGCTCGTTTTTAACTTCTCCCATCTTATATTTATTACAGTTTTAATGCATATGTTTTAACTCTTCCTGTCTATTTGCTACTTTATACTAATTTCAGGGGGTTTTTAGTTTTGTTTGCATTTCAACTTTTTCTCCTAATGGTTTGTGTGGGTTTTTTTTCTGCCTTATATCGACATTTCCTCTTGAATGTTAATAAGCATTTAAAAGGCTGTGTTGTCAAAAATGTTATGACACATTTTTGCATAGAAAAAACACGTCCTGACTTTTCCGACAACCTAGTATTTATATCAACACCTGAGTTTTATTTGTCCACATACATACAAATGCCTACAATGTATACCCAGTACCTTAACTTTTTAAAAATTTTATTTAGCTTTATTTATATTATTATTATTTTCACATGAGTTTTGCCAGAGAAAGACAGAGAGAGAAAGAGAGAGAGAAGCCGCCAGGTCCGGGACTGGAACCGTGGTCGGCCATGTGGGAATTCCAGCACCTTAACCACCACCACACCACTTGCTGGCCCAACTTTTGTTGAAGTTTGGAAATTGGGTTTCAGATTGGTGTTTTTTCTGTTGTTGGTGGTTTGTCTTTCCATTCCTCAGCACTTATTAATCCTCATCTGTTTTAACTCAACACGTATTAATCCTCATCTGTTTTAAGAATTCATACCAAGTCTCACCACTGCTTTTATGTTAATATCGTATTGTTTTATTTATTTTTATTTTTTGAGAGGTTTTTGCTATAGGGCACATGCGCTCACCAGGAAGACAGAGAGACACAAAGAGACAGAAAGTGAGAAATCACCCCCCGGGTGGGGGTACAACCACACCACAATGCCTTTTCCTCCATTCTCCTCCCGGGATCTTGGGCATGCACGCACATGCGCCCGGCATGAGTTTAAGCCACTGGGTCCAGAACTCAAACCACAGTCGACTACAGGGGAGTCCAGCGACATAGCCATTAAGCCAACTGCTGGTCCCATCTTATTGTTTTTCTTAAAATGAAGTATGTTAGACTGTGGAATGTATATAAAATATTTTTTATTTCTGAAAGAAAAAGTATTTATAGGTTGAGGAGTAGATAGGGAGATATCTACACACTAATAATAATAATAATAGATCATCGGGAAAGTCATGATGCATTTTTGCATAGAAAAATATATCATGACTTTCCCATATACCTAATATATTTCTTAAGCTTTTTGATATTAAGAAGGCTGTCCAATAAGATACACATTTTTGGGTCTTAATTTCTGTCATTTTAACTTTTATAATGAATTCAGGGGTTAGCATCATTTTCATAATCAAAAACTAATTGTGCATAAAGAAAGATAACTGGGCATTGTCTAACAGTGGTGAAGTGGTAACACAGTCACATTCTAAAATGAAAAGGTTTCCAAGTCACACTAGTGAGTAATTAAAATAACTAGTATTATTAACCAAGATTCAGGACAGCAGAAGATTTTCTACCAAGGATAGACAACATTTAGAAAATGTTAACAACAACAAAAAGAGGCAGGGGGTAGGCCAGTACGTGGGTGGTAGTTAAGATGCCTGGATCAAGTCCTGGACCTGGCGTCTTGAAGAACACTCTGGTGTGTGCTTGTGTGCCTAAAAATAATCCCATGAGGAGAATGGAGACGAATTACAGGATGGCCATCCCCCTGGGGGGTGATTTCTCACTCTCCATCTCTCTGTCTCCCTCCAGTGAGCTCATGCAATCTATGACAAAGCCTTAAAAAAAATTCTAGATATACACTGAGGTCGAGGTCAACCTTTAAATAGTTAGAAATACAGACGGATATTGCTATGCAGTATAATGGTAAACCTGCAAGCTGCTTGGAAATGTTTTCTCAAATATGTATAATAATTCACTATTATATTATAGAATATACCTTTGGTAGCTGTATGTTGCTATATTCAGTTTTCTTAAAGATACAAGTGTAAGGAAACTTGGAAAATAACCGATGATCACTGGCTAGAGATACCACAATTTGAGCTTCAAAAAGGGTATTTCCAGGTGCAACGGATTTAGACCAGTCAAATGTATGTAATTCATGCATTTATAGTGAAATAATTTTACATTAAAATATTCACATACTATAAAATTTATTCTTTTTAAAAATGTTATTATATTTATTTCATGAGAGCATATGTACATGTGCACACATAGACACAGAAATTTTCCCCAGCCCTCCAGCTAGTTAGGATGTTAGGTATGCGTGCACATGTGCCCGTTGTGTTTCATGTCATCTTGGAAACTCATGGTTAGTCGTGTGGCTGCCATCTCTGTGAACGTGTACACTAACGTCTGTGCTACCAAGCCTGGGCCCATATGCTTTTAACGTGGACAGCTCTGGGTACAAAGCTATGTAATTACCACCACTAACATTCTCGTTACCCCAGAAAGGAATTCCATAACCGCTACTAATTGTACCCATTTCTCCTTCTTCTCAGCCATTGGCAAATAGTATTCTGTTTTCTTGGTATGGTTCTATCTATGCCTATTCATACCATTTCATATAAATGGAATTATGTAATCCGGTGCAATTCATACTTGGCTTCTTTCACCAACCATAATATTGGGTTGTTGGTAAAGGCATGACATGTTTTTCTATGCAAAAATACTTAATGGCCCAATATTTTCAAGGTCCCATGTTGTAACATGTATCACTATGTCCTTCTTTATTATGTTTAGATGCTACTCCATTGTATGTATATCTCACTTTTCATTTATCCTTTCATGAAGTAATGTACATTTGAGCTGTTTCCACTTTGGAGCTGATATGAATAGCACTTTGTTTAAGTTTTTGTATGGTTGGATGTTTTCAGGATTTGTTTTGGTTTTGGTTTGTGTTTGTTTGTTTTGTTGTTTTGTTTTTGCATATATACCTAGGAGTACAATTGCTAGGTCATAAGGTAATACTGTATAACCTTTTGTGAAACTTTTCCAGAACACATGTATCATTTTACAGTACCATCAGTGATATATGGAAATTCTTATTTTTTCACATTCTCACCAACACATATTATGTCAGTCTTTTTTATTACAGCCTATAAGTTTACTATTATATGTGTACGCCTTTTTTGAATATCCCTTTATGTTTGCTGATTTTAAAAAATTGTTAAGAGCAGCTTATACTAGCTAATAATCCCTTGTTTATTGTGCCTTTTCTCCCCCATTTTCCTATTGTGCCTTTTCTTTACTGGTAGGTTTATATGGGAGTAGTGGGAAAGAAATAAATTAAAACAATTTTTTCTTTCTTTTTTTTTGAGAGGTTTTTGCTATAGTGCGCGTGCGCTCGCCAGACAGACAGAGAGAGACAGAGAGACAGAAAGCGAGAAATCACCACCCCCCAGGGGGGATAGCCACACCGCAATCCCTTCTCCTCCATTCTCCTCTCAGGATCTTGAGCACGCACGCACACGCGCCCGGTGTGAGTTTTAAGCCACCAGGTCCGGGACGTGAACCACGGTTGACTACATGGGAGTCCAGTGACATAGCCATTACGCTAACTACTGGTCCCAACAATTTTTTTCTTTTTGTGAATCAAAAAGAATAATTTGGCTGATTAACTTTGGCTTTTCATGTTAGCATCACCTAAACAGTATGTTGTAGGATACATGGTCCAGTTATATTTGGTAAGAAGTAGACAAGTTGTGTGGTATTCAGGCATCTTTTTCAGCTAACTTTGAATTTTTTGTAAAAGTCAAATAAAATCATTTTATTAAATTATAGGCATTACTTCTTAAATGGAATCTTATTTCGCAGTTTTCATATTGTTAAAGTTTGAGTGTTTTGCTTTTCAGGATTTCTTCATGTTTAATAGCTTATGTTTATTTTTGCCTTTTTTAACTTTGTAGAAATACCGGTATCAGGATGAAGATACGCCTCCTCAAGAGCACATTTCCCCACAAATCACTAATGAGGTGATAGGTCCAGAATTGGTTCATGTCTCAGAGAAGAACCTGTCAGAGATTGAGAATGTTCATGGATTTGTTTCTCATTCTCATATTTCACCAATAAAGGTAGGATCATCGTTTATGTTATTGCTATGGATTACATAGAGATTGCACATCTCTAATCTGAAAATTTGAAATCCGAAATGCTCTAAAATTGGAATCTTTTTGAAAGCCAGCATGACACAAGTAGAAAATTCTTCACCTGACCTCATGTGACAGGTCACAGTGAAAATGCTCCAATATGGAAATATTGTAAAGAGCCAGCCCATGGCATGATGGTGAAGGCAGCTGGATCCCACGTGCCTGACTGCATGGTTTGAGTATTGGACCCAGAGGCTTGGAAGATATGCCTGACACGTGTACGTGCGTGTCCAAAATCTCAAAGGGAGGGGAACAAGGAGGAAAGGGGATTGTGGCCTAACCCTTCCCCAGGCAGGTGCTTTCTCACTTACTTACTTTCTTTCTCTCTCTCTCTCTCTCTCTCTCTCTCTCTCTCTCTCTCTCCAGTAAGTGCACACTCTCATTGGCAAAATTTAAGAAGTATATATTGTATATAAAATTATTTTCAGGCTAGAGTATATATGGAACATAATGTATAACGTGTTTAATTAGACTTGAGCTCTTTTCTCAAGATATCTCATTATGTATATTCAAATATTATAGAATCAAAAATCTCTGAAATCTGAAATTCTTCCAGTCCCATACATTTCAGACAAATGATATGTGGCCCATATTACTTTTGTTAAAGATACAGTTCATGCTCAGAGAAAACTTTCTAATGTACATTTTCCCCTCTTTGACTGGATTTTAATTTCATAGTTTTAGGGAATTTCATGGTACTTATTAGTGTTCCAAACAACATTTTTAAGCATATATGTTATACATTAGTTTTACTCATTGATACTCTTTAAGGTCTAAAGTCTTATAAAGGAATTTATATTTCACATCTCATACAATAAAGTATTTTTAAACACTTATTTTAGATATTAGTAGGTACAGAAAAGGCTATTCACATTATTGTTAAAGTTCACTACGTGACTTTTCTTGATCCTGTCATCTCTCTCCTTAGAAGTGACTGCAATTCTGAATTTGATATTTACCCTTTCTTAGAAAATTCTACTACAAAAAAAGAAAATTCTACTCCAGGGGCTGGCAGGTGGCAGTGGTGGTTAGGACACTGGACTTCCACATGGCCGACTGTGGTTTAAGTCCTGAACCTGACTTGCTTTCTCACTTTCTCTCTCTCACTCTGTCTCTCTCTGGTTAAACTAAAATAAATAAATCAAGTTAAATAAAATAATTCTTTAAAAAAAAATTCTACTGTATGTTTAGATCTCTAATCAGTGTTGTTTACTCTGCATATTTTGAACCTTACATAAATGTAATCATACTATACAAGGAGACTTTTAAAAATTCACAGAAAAATGGAATTAAACTAAGTTTATTTTGGTGCAAAAATATGTGAAATCCACGCATAGTGTTTTTATGAAGCACATTTTTTATGAACTTTTGAAGACCCCTTATATACATAATCTTCAACCTATACTTTTTGCTCAATATTATATCCCTAAGATTCAGTATTTAATTGCATGGGTCCAGAGTTTTCTATTTTATGGATATACCACACAGTTTATCTTACTTTTGATGGATATTGAATTATTTTCAGATTATTATTAGTATAAAAATTACTGCTAGGCTGACCCTGAAGCCAGGTGGTTTAGCTTGAAAAATATTGATGGTATACATGCATGTGCATCCAAAATCCCAAAAGGATGGAGAAAAGGAGAAAAAGGGATCATGGCATGACTTGAACCGTGATCGACTACATGGGAGTCCAGCGACACAGCCACTATGCCAACTGCTAGTACCCAGAGATGTTCTTTTCAAAGTATGTCTTTTTTTGGGGGGGCGGGGGAGGAGAGATTTTCACTGTAGGGCGCGGGCGCTCGCCAGACAGACAGAGAGAGACATAGAGACAGAAAGCGAGAAATCACCCCCCAGGGGGGATGGTCACGCCGCAATCCCTTCTCCTCCATTCTCCTCTCGGGATCTTGGGCACGCACGCACACGCGCCCGGCGTGAGTTTTAAGCCACCGGGTCCGGGACACGAACCGCGGTCGACTACGTGGGAGTCCAGCGACATAGCCATTACGCTAACTGCTGGTTCCCCAAAGTATGTCTTTTTTAAAAAAACATTTTCTTTTGAGGGCCACCAGGTGGTTTGGTGGTTAAGGTGCTGGACTCCCGCAAGACTGATGGCGGTTCGAGTCCTGGACTTGGCAGCTTCAAAATCAGGCCAAGTGCATATGCATGCATGCCCAAAATCGCAAGAGGAGAATGGAGAAGAAAGGATTATGATGTAGCCTTCCCCCTGGGGGGGAGGATTATTTCTCATTTTCCCCTCTCTTAGCCTAGTGAGCACACTTATCCTATGGCAAAACCCTTTAAAAAAAAAATCTTGTGTCCCTACCCCATGTGTTGCCACTCACAACTCCCTGTTCTACTATAGAAGCATACTCATACATCCCTACATGTACACACACATATATATAAATATATATATATACATATATATATATACACACACACACACACACACACACACATACATATATATATAAAACTATAAGTGTATGTATAGGGTGGCTTACCTATCTTCCTAAGATCATATTTGGTAGAAGCAATCTGACCACTCTTAGTAAACTAAATACTCTAGGTATCCAGAGAAAAAACTTAGTAGGCTACTAGTGGTAGGAAATAGTTTTCTTATCTTTTCCTTCTTTTTACTCTTTTCATCATTGTTTTTTCTCTTCTTTCTTTGAGCTTATTCTCTTTGCTTGCCTTTCTAGTCTCTAAAATCATTTGCTTATTATATTAACTAAGTCTTCTGAGCTATACATTTTTCTTTAAATAACAGTTCAACTGTATCATTATAACTTTTTATTTAAAATTTTTATTGTGCTGTTTTTCCTTTACCCGTGAGTTATTTATAAATAGGTTCCTTAATTTTTATACATAACAGACTTCATTCCTTTGCTGTCTTCTTTTGGATTATATTTTATCACCTCTTTTTCCCTTCTTATTAACTTGGAAGCTATTCTACTAACCTGTCTTCTGTGGTTATAGTAGTATTTTTAACCTGCACCGCTAACTTATAAACGCCTATGATAAATATCTCTTGCCTCTTTTTTATTTATTTTTTTTGTGTGTGTGCTGTTTCAGGCATTCATTTCTCTTTATTTACAGTTTGTATTCAGTGTGAGTCAATTCCATAACTAAGAATCAAAGTATAAATACACAAACACAATATACAGTCTAGAATAGATGGACAGCATTCAGGTGTGAAGCAAAGGAGAGTGGTCATTCACACACACGGTAGCTTCAGATCTGCTCAATCTGGTTCTTCTCATGTGTGTTTCTAAAGATGAGGGAAAATGACTTTATGGGCATATTAGATACTGGAACAGAACCTAAGCATCAATGTGTGACTATGCAAACAAAATACTTCAGGGACATGTATTTTTAAAAAGGTTTTTGTGTTGAGGCTGTTAGAAAAGATTTTCCAGAATCAAGCTCACTTGAGGTTCTAACTATCTACAAATATTGACTGATAACTGAAAGTGTTCCAAATGTGGCTATTCTGATCCATGGGTTTAAAAAAAAGTATTTACAGAAAGAGGATAAAAGTTTCCGTGAGTTTTATGCAAGTTAGCTTCTGTTCTTCACTTCTCAAGTACCTGATAAACAGTTTTGGCTTCTTCAAATATTTACCTTTTTAATTTCAAGATTTGTAATTCTACCTTCAAAACATCGTTTTTTAATGTAAAAAATGCAGAAATTCAAAGAATAAAAAAGTAAAAGCATTTTTAAATTAGTTGAGGTCAGTGCAATTCTGTTCTTGAAATAGTTTAATTAAAAAAAAATAGTTTAAGTGACTCTGGTGCTCTTGTCCAATAAAAACAGGTGAAGAAAAATGCCTACCATTTGATTTTATAAGGTTAAGCTATATTCACTTAGTATGCCTGGGTTTGGGGGTAGATTTCAATCCATCATTGCCCAGGTGCATCTCAATTACTACATAAAAGAACAAATGCAGTGTCAAACCCAAAGCCTCAGAGGAAAAGAGTTCCGTTCCCCAGAAAACAGTGATAGCTTTATAATGTGAAATTTTATCTAAGGTATATCAGCATTAAATTAGTGCTGCTGAAACGATACACTGAGGATTTACTGTTAACACCTAGAAGTTCCTTCGATTGTACATCTAAATAGAATCATGGAAACTTCATATTAACTAATTGTATTATGGCCTTATGGATTTAATGAACCAAATGAAAACTGAATCTCCATTCTACATCCCATTCTTTATCTCTAGATAAGATAAAATCTATTCTTAATTTTAAGGTAGAGTTTTACATGTCCATATTTCTTAAGCCACATTTAAGGAAATCATGTCTTAACTAATTTCAAGTGTTGTCTCTTCATCTTTACATGAAATTCCAGCAGGTTTAATCTTGGCATTTATCATCTGGTCAAGTCCTTCCCATGTTCTTCAACCAGTCAAATGTGGTATTCACAACATCTTCTGTGTTGATAAAATAAGATGTGGAATTAGTAGATTTGATGAAGACCTGTTTGTGGTGTTTTGTTTTGTTTTGTTTTCCTTGCCACACTGGACTTCTAGATGCCATTTGGATTGGGTTTAGAGGATGGGGAAGTGTAGCTACTTCTTGGCCTGAGTCTCTTAACAGCAGAGATTTAGAAGAGAAAGTGAGGTCACAAGGAGACTGGCTGTTGACTGCAGGGCACTGCCAGCGGCCTTGGTGGTGGCATTAGCTGGATTTGGGGCAGCTGAGATATTCTGGGAGTAGTTACTTGGAAGTGTTATGACAGTTGTTTGATTTGAATAAATCTGCGTAGGTAGGAGCAGTGCCAGAAGCAGCAGCCCCAGCCTGGCCACCATCGCTCTGTTCATGTCCGCTCCGTCATGTGTGCAGAGAACCGCTGCTCGGGGCAGGTGCAGGCGAGGTGGGCTCTTTTACCTCATTCTGAACAGCATAACTTTAGAATTCTTAAAGTATAAGTATTCCCTCCTGCTTTATATACTATCTTTCTCAGCCTGTGCCTGTTTGCTCCTGACTAAATTAAATCCGATGTATTTTTCACTTCTGTCAAAAAACTCTCCCAGGGTATATATATAATACTTTGGTTTTTCACATTTTGAATATCTGATTATTCTGTTGATTACAAATTAACTAAAACCAATTTGCATACCACCACCTCTTTCATTTGGTGAGGGTTTTGGTTGTTACTTTGGTATTAATGCAGATTATGACACAAACAGCCATTTAAACAGTGAGCCAGCAAAATATTAAAAATTATTTTAAAATAAAAAATTAACATTTTAAAATATTTTATATTGCTTATCCTTTAAATGTGACAAAGCCCCAGCTCTTTGCTGTTGTATAAATGCTCACCCCAGGCAGATAGAACAATATCCCAGGGACAAGATTTTGTTTACCCAGAATCTTCAGACAGTTTATAAATTAAACCTAATGTGTCTTCTCTATGGGTACAATCTCTTCGAGTTTTTTTTTTCCCCCTTTGCAAGAATGGAAAATGCCTCTAAACTAATTTAACCAATCCATATAACTGGAAGATTATAAATTTCACCAATAAAATCCCATTTTTTTTATTTAGTAAGCCATTAATTTAAAAAAGTGATAGCTCTCTCTATTCATTATGATGATCAAGAAAGCCTTTGGTGTTGCTCAGACATTTAATGTAACAAAATCTTGGCCCACTCAGTGGTGCAGGCAGTAGGGTATTGAACTGTAATGCTGGAAGCCACAAAGAAGACTACAGGTTCAGATCCCAAGTTGATCTGAAGACATGTTGGGCCTGACTGGCGAGAGAAACTGGGAAAAGGGATTGAGGCTTGACAAAACTCTGTCAAGTGTGCCTCCATGTCTCTGTCCCTCATGTGTGCACATGCACTCTCTCTTATAAATAAAATAAATGAATTAAAATCTTAAATTGCCATCTCCAAATAAGACCATTTTAATTAAATGCTAGTTTTGGTATGTGAATTCCTAATTAGGACAATCTGTTGCCCATAGAATTATAGTTTTCAACTATGATTGGGTTTGGGAATTACTAAAGTAGCTTTAAAAATCATTGATGTCAGAGATTCTCATTTAATTGATCTTGAAAATCATGAGATTTGGAATTTTTACAGACTCTAGGTGTTTCTCATTTCATCAGTTGAGAAGCACTGCTGTACCCTCGCCCCTACCACAACCAGAACTGCTATTTCTTACAAAATACTTGCTGTCTGTGTTCAAGTATTTTATTCTTATTTTTTAGATTTTTATTTATTTATTTATTTGGAGAGATTTTTGCTATAGGGCGCATGCGCACGCCAGACAGACAGAGACACAGAGAGATAGAAAGTGAGAAATCACCCCTCCCAGGGGGGATGGCCACACCGCAATCCCTTCTCCATTCTCCTCTCGGGATCTTGGACGGGCACGCATGCACCCGCAACCGGCGTGAATTTAAGCCTCCAGGTCCGGGACTCGAACTGCGGTCGACTACGTGGGAATCCAGTGACATAGCCATTACGCTAACTGCTGGTCCCAGATTTTTATTATTTTTTAAAGGATTATTTTGTTTAACTTCAGTTTTTTTTTTTTTTTTTTTTTTTTGTAATTTGACCAAAGAAAGATGGGAGAGTGAGAAAGCAAGCTGCCAGGTCCAGGACATGTGGGAGTTCAGCACCTTTAACCATCATGCCACCTCCCAGCCACATGTGTTCAGGTAGATTAAAGTAAAGTTCTGACATTATTTCCTTATTTAATACTTAGTCTAGAATGAGACTTAAACTGAATTTTGAGAGAAAAGGCATTATGACTTAAGATGCTCACTTATTTCCTTAAGCTGATTCATTTGTTCCCTAATCTCCCTGCAATGGGAGTGAAAAGTCAATTTTGCATACAGTCGCTTCTTGTTTATTATTACATGACAAAAGGTTATATATCCCAAAGCCCTCCATCCTCTTTTTAAAGTTTATTTATTTCTTCCTTGATTGAATGAGGGACATCGGGAGGGCAAGAGAAAAAAAAAAACCAGGGCTGTTATACCACAGTCCACCCCCGCCTTCATTAGGCCCTGGATTGTAGGCATGCATGTGACTAGCATACTCAGGAAGGTCTCTGGACTTGAACTAGCAACCTTCCCATGTGAGACTGCCTTGCAGGGCACAGAATGTCACTGTCTCATCCCAAATTTGAGAGGCATTTTAAAAGGAGTACATTATTAAAATTACGCTTTATAATCAGTTATACATTATGGTATACATTTTTACAGTTGCTAGCATTTTATCATTGCCTTAGTTGAATGGTAATCTTTGGATAGTTTTATGTCAGCCTTTGTTGACACATTTTAGTAAGATCAAGAAAGTACCAGCATCAAAACATCTTGGTGATGCTTTGATATCAGTGGTAATCAACTGCTGAGAAACTGCTGAAAATCTGATCATCTTTGTAGGCTATTCTCTTGTGCTGTCTTTTTCAGTTTATTCTCTCTTATTAGGTCTTAGCACCTCAGTCTCCTTGAAATGGCTACAGGTAAACCTTGATACTATTTTTTTTTTTGAGAGATTTTCACTGTAGGGCGCGTGCGCTCACCGGACAGAGAGACACATAGAGATAGAAAGCGAGAAATCACCCCCCAGGGGGGATGGTCACGCCACAATCCCTTCTCCTCCATTCTCCTCTTGGGATCTTGGGCACGCACACACACACGCCCGGCGTGAGTTTTAAGCCACCGGGTCCGGGACACGAACCACGGTCGACTACGTGGGAGTCCAGCGACATAGCCATTACGCTGCTGGTTCCCAACCTTGATACTATTAAGTGGAGCAACTGGCTTTCCATTTCCCCTGTGGCCTACTTGCTGGTTATCTGATTCTTTGGGGGAACTGAATAGACAGGGCTTCTCATTCCCAGTAGAAGAATTATCTAAATTCTCTTTGACCTATTTCCAAATCCCACTTTACATCTTTCCCCTTCTTTTGTGTATGTGTGTGGGGGTGGGGTAGGGGGGGAGACCGCACTTTGCCATAGGGTGTGTGCACTTGCTAGAGAAAGACAGAGGCAGAGAGGAGGAAAGTGAGAAATCACATCACCTCTCTCAGAGGGGATGGCCATACTGCATTCCCTTCTCCTCCATTCCCTTCTTGGTATTTTAGGTGCATGCACAGCTGGCATGATTTTCAGGCTGCCAAATCCGGGGCTCAAACCGTGTTTTAAGCTATGTGGGAATCCAACACCTTAACTACCTTGCCACCTGCTGGCCCTTACATCTTACTTTTTCTAATATGAGTTTTTTCTGAATTGTAAACTTGTTATGCACATTTTCTTATGTGTATATTTCTTATGTAATATTATGTATCAAGTAAAACTTCAGCTTAAAAAATGTGGCCTAGCAAAGTAGTGTGTGCTGTTGACACTGCTATTCAGTAGGCTGAGGCAGGAGGATTGCAATATAGTGAGACCTATCTAATTTTTTTTTTTAATTTAAAACTTGTCACATTAGTATATTTGTTCCGTAATTTAAATGATCATTTTTATTTTTTATTTTCATTTTCATTAGATTTATAATGTTTTTTTTTAATTTAAAACTTGTCACATAATATTACATAGTATATTTGTTCCGTAATTTAAATGATCATTTTTATTTTTTATTTTCATTTTCATTAGATTTATAATGAATACTTCAGCAATACTTCAGCAGATAGTCTTTGGAGATAAAAATGGTTTCAGTTGTTTCCCTAATTTATTTAAAACACAGTGTCAGACTAGCAGATGACATGGAAATTGAGGCCACTGAATCCCAGATGGCCAGCTGTGCAGTTTGAGTCCTAGACCTAGCAGCTTGAAAAACATCCCAGGTGTGTATGCATGCATGCCCAAAATCCCAAGAGGAGAATTGAAGAGAAGTTATTGCAGTGTGGTCATCTCCTAGAAGGGTGCTTTCTCTCGCTCTCCCTCCCTCCCCCTCCCTCTCTCTCTCTCTCTCTCTCTCTCGCGCGTACGCGCGCACGCACGCGCACACACCCTTATAGCAGTAAATAAAATATAGTGTCAGTTAACTGATAGCAGCCTCTTTAATCAAAAGAAGTTAATATATAGAGATTTTTCACTTTTATAGTATTGTGTTTTAGAGAGAAACTTGTAGCAGTTAACGCCATACTCAGACTTAATAAACTATTATTTTTATAATTTGAAGAAATAGCTTTTTGAAAATTTGCTATAAGGTGTGTGCTCTCACTGGAGAGAGACACAGAGAGAGAGGAAAAGTGAGGAAGCACTCCTTCCTGCCCTCCCCACTCCATGCAGGATGGCCATGCTATAGTCTCTTCTCCTCTGTGCTCCTTTTGGGATTTTGGGCACAGACACATGCCCACACACGTGCTCAGTGTGTTTGTTAAACTGCCAGGTCCAGGACTCAAACCACTCAGTCAGCCATTTTGTATCCAGCCACCAAAACCACCGTACCATGGGTTGGCCCAGAAGAAATAGCTTTTATTTACTTGTATTTATTTACTTTTTTAGAGATTTTTGCAGTAGGGTTTGCACGCTCACCAGAGAAACAGAAAGTGAGATATCACCCCCAGGGGGATGATCACACTGCAATCCCTATTCCTCCACTCTCCTCCTGGGATCTTGGGCACACATGCTTACATGCCCAGTGTGAATTTTAGGCCACCAAGTCCGGGCCTTTAACCATGGCCGACCATGTGCGGTCTAGCAATATAGCTGCTACACTATTTTCTGATCCCAGAAGAAATATCTTAGTAGTAGTGGTTTGCTGTGTAGAATCTAAATTAGGTACTGCTTTATCTTCACAATTCTAACAAAAGATAAATTCATTTAAAATATGCTTACTTTAAAAATCAACTTCTAGAATATT